GGGGGGGGGGGGGGGAAGTGTACAAGAAATCTTTTGCTTCTTCCTAAAAATACTGATTCCAATTAGTGCTTTAATTTCCCTGCTGTCCCTTTAAGTTCCTCTCCAAGGCTTTATATGGCTTCTTCTTTATCAGTTTGGGCACTAGCCTGATCCTTACCCAGATCACCTGAACAAACAGATTCTGGGAGACTAAGCAGGAAATTTTGTCTCAATTCAATCATCATAAGCTCCTGGCATTTCCTACTTCTGTCCGGCTGGTAATACCAGAAGACCAGCCTCCCACATTGCTGCTGGTCTCTCTTCCTATTGTTGATACTATCCCTCTGCCTGCCTCCTCCCCTAGATCCCCTTCTCCCTTTCAGTCCCATCTTCTTCCCAGGCCTAAACATCTTCTGTGAAGAGTCTGGCTGACAATCAAGGAAGCATACCTAGACAAGATGAGGGGATACCTCTTCAACCCCTTCACCTTTGCAGGCTACAGTGGATGAAAGGTGAATCAGGAGCTAAGTGGTGGTCTGAGTGCAGTGTTGCACCTTGCCTGAAGATCAGGCTGGATTCTGTTTTGCCCTGGGCTCTCATATAAGCACATGCCGAGCCAGGCCTGGGATGAATAATGAGAATTTGCTGCCCCACAAGAGTTCACTCCCCCACACCAGTGGGTTATTTCCAAGAAGGAAGGTGAAATTATGTCTCTATGCCACCAGTACCTCCTAAAGGGTAGGAAGAGGAATCCCCTTAGCTTGGCCTGGAATGCTTCCTTAATTGTCAGCCAGACTTTACAGAAAGTATTCAGGCCTGGAAAGCAAGGTGGGACTGAACAGTAGAAGGGGATCTAGAAGAAGTGGGTGGGGGAGGGGAGTGGCAAGTTTATCTGCACTAGAAATAGGGAGAGTGGTGAGAAAAAAAAAAAAAGCTAGCAATACCACAGTCCAGGAAGGAAGCAAGGCATGTATATTGAGAGGGAGGGCGGGGGCAGAAGAGAGAAGAAAGGGGGAGCGATGTGGACTTGAAGACAGGCAATTTAGAGGTGGAAACAATGACCTCCTCAGGTTTCTAGTTGGCTCCACTATAGTGCAGATACTTGGAGCAGAAGTTTTAGAGTCAAGTCTGAGTAGTGGGAGGAAGTGCTTAGTCAGTCAGCCTGGTTTCACTTTGTGCAAAGCAGACAACCCTACCACTTCCTTCAAGGTTAAGCTTGTGCTACCACTCAGCACACTTGGCCCACCTACCTCATACTTAAGTAGAAACGAGTTGGGGTTTGTGGCACATGGCTGCCTAGGCATTGATAATTCATTCCCTTCCTTGCTCTTGGTTACAGTATTAGGTTGCACCAATACTGGAGCAGGTAAGAATATGTTCCTCAAGGTTGTTCACTGCAAGGCATGGCCAGTTTCACTTGCCTTCTCTTATTCTTGTCAATCGCATATTAAACCATGAAATACTACTAAAAAATAAGAAGGAAGAAGTCAGGGCCTATCTTGGGTCTGCCTCACTCAAGTTTGATGCTAGCCCAATCCTATTGATTTCAAACACAAGTATACCAGTGTAAAAAAAAAAAGTGCAATATACCAGGCCTAATTCACCCTTGATTATTCAGCTTGTGAATCAGCAGGGGGGTGAGTAGAAAAGGAAGTGCTGAGAATTGAATTCAGTTGAGTTTACCATGACCTTTCCAGGTGGTGTTCAGATTCATAATTTGATCTGAATTCAGCTGCAATCAAAAAACATTTAAGCCTATCTTCTGCTCTTCTATAAAACCTATTATGCTACTACCAGCAATTAGCCTTCCTCCAAGATTCGGATGCACCCAATACCTGCAGGTGCTCAGCAGAGATGTAGGAGCTGCCTCCCTGCTTCAGAGCGGCTTTTCGACCCTGGAACTTGGACATTTCTCTTCCTTACTCCCTCCCCCTCCAGCAGAGCTCCCTTCATTAGGAGCACCCCAGGGCACTATATTAAGAAAGGAAGACATGAATGGGTAATAACCGAGAAGGCACAAATTCAAGAATCCATTGGTAGTTTCTCTTAGGCCTCATTATTTGGTGGGGATGGAAATCAACTAATTCTTTGACATGCTCAGGGATCACAGTTCACTAGCTTTGAGAAATACAGTCTGCCTGCTCCGCATCAGGTGCGGAGGGGTCAGTCTACAACAGGAGCCAATATCAGATGTGCTCTAATGTTTGCATCTAACCCAATAAGAAAGGGGGGTGGGGAGGGACACAAACAAGACAGTTCAACAATAATGCCTCAACTCTTTAATGTCCATTTCTGTGCTCATGGGCCACGGTCTGGGTTAGTTTCTGCTGCATAACTGTACTTGCAACCAGGAAGCATTTTCTTTAGTTTAACAGCGTTTCTCCAACTTTCCCCAGACCAAGACACACTTACATTCATTAACAATTTCTGCAGCACACCCAAGGCATTCCCCATCCTCATACCTATTGTAGCTCCTTGCCATGGCAAAGTTCTGTGACAAATCTGTTCATTTCTGATAGCACACTGGTCTAACATCTCACAGGAAGCAGCTTTTTGAACATTTGCATGCCAAGGCCTTCTCATACAAGCAATGGGTGACTGGCACCATGGCAGTGGGTGGGGAAGCCACCAGTTACCCCTCCTGTGGACTGACACATGCAAGCAAAAGACTGTGGTAGGCCCAAATCTGCCCTCAAACACACATGTGCAATCCCCACCAAAGGCAAGTGGGGTGGCACTCATGTCCCAGAAGGAAGATTAGTGTCCTGCCAACCTCTTGATAAACAAGCCAACTATTTACCTGATAAAGGTAGTCTTCCCGGTGGAATATTGCCCCACCAGCAGGACCATCGGCTTGTTATCAAAGTCAGCATCTTCCAGGGCTGGCGAATGAAACTCATGGAATTTGTAGTATTCTTCTAACGGGAGCAGCTTGGTTTTGTAGAGTTTCTTCAGCCCCTCACTGACCGTCTGAAACACCTCAGGGTCCTTCCTCCTCCTGTCGTCAGTACCCAGCCAGCTGAACATCGTGGAACGTGGGCCCAGGGACTCGCCTCCTCAGCACTCGCTCCTTCCCCAGCAATGCTCCGTCCTTTGCACTTTTTTCCCCCCCCAGAAAGGTCCAATCTTCAGGAGAAGGGCACTTGCTCACCTGGACCTCTGCTCCAGGCAGCAGGGCAGCTTTACTCGCTGGCCTCCCTCAAGGCACTGCTTCCTCACCAGCTACCGTCTGGCCAAGAGCATGCTCTCTTCTGCAAAGGGGGAGAAGCAGGGACTTAAGGGGCTGCAAGACAAGGTTCCCTATGTGACATCAGCGGGCGACGAAAAGATTCTCCTCGCTTCTCTCCCCTCCCAGGTTTCTTCCTCACCGCCTGCAGAAGGTCTGATGGCTGCTGCACCACCCCGGCCACCCAGCTGCAAAGAAACGAACCCTCCGCTCCACGCAATGGGAGAACAGGAGGGCTTCTCAGACTCCCCGGCGACGCCTGCCTCCTTTCAAAGCCCCGAGGAGCCGAATCCGCATGCCGGCCGGAAGCGGCGATACAAGCACAGCAGCACACCGCCCTGCGGCAGCAGCGCCGCGTTTAAATGCAGCCTTCCAGGAAATGGCCTGGCGGCGGAAGTGGCCAGGTCCTGGCAGAGCCTCCCAGCCTCCCGGAGGGGCTGAAGCTTAGCAGGGCGGCGCCATCTTGGGAGGAGGGGCTGGCAAGCTGCCTCTCGGGTGCTCCCCGCAAGCCGGGCACGTTCTGCCCTGCGCCGTGGGGCGGGTGGGGCTCAGCGCCCTCTGGAGGGCATTGCCGGGTGTGCAGGCAGCCCTGGCCCCTGGCAGGGGGCTTGCTCAGCTGCCTGGAGGAGTGGCAGCCTGCCCCCATCATGTGCCTGGTGACCTAGTGGTTTTTCTCTTCTCCCTTCAGACAGAAGGAAGAAGGGGCTTCTCAGCTGCAAGACCCCTGAATGCCAGAGTCCTTCAGCAGGGGAGATAGGCAGGAGCAGCCATAGGGGAGGGCAAACCGGCTGACCGCCCAGGGCCCCACACTTTAGGCGGCCCGCATATTTTTTTTGGTGGGGGGTGAAGTTTTTGCAAGGAGATGTCTCTGTTTGCATTTTAACACTCGACTATTTCTCTGATTCCTACAAATAATATTGAAAAGATCCATGATACAACCGTGGTGGGTTAATATTTACCCGAGTAAATATTAACTGGGATCCTTTGACTGTAGCTGACTTCCTGCCCCTTGGGCAGGGGGCTAGACTTGATGATCTTCTGAAGTCCCTTCCAGTCCTGATGTCTGTGAAATCTATGAGTCTGTACCTCTAAGGGGCCCAAATGACTCTTAGACGGGGCCCCAACAACACTAAGGCCACCACTGAGATAGGGGTGCAGTACTGCCAACCTCCCCATGTCGAAAATCATGAAACAAACTCTTAACAATCAAGAGATCTGGAATGTCAGTCACGAAATGCTATTTTTGAAGTGTGTGTGCATGGTTCCTGGGGCCAAGGCAGCAGAGCGCAGAGCCCCAGTCTGCAGCAGGCAGCCTGCCTCTGCCCCATGCACAAATCTGGGGGACACGTATCCCCCATGCCTCCTCCATTCACCCAAGCACCTGTCCCACTCCCTCCCTCACCATGGGGGCCTCAATCTGCCCCTCCCGTCCCTTCCCTCTCCCCCCACCGCCTCCTTCCCCTCCACAGACTTACCAATTTGGTGTTCTCTATGTGCACTAGAAGAAAAAAATCACGAGATTTGATCTCTCTATCAGAAGATCATGATTCAGAGTTAATTTGACTTGGAAATTGTGAGTCTCATGATTTTTTCGTGAGACTCGGCATTACTGGGGGCGTGTGAAAGGGAGGTGGGGGAGAAGAGAATCAGTGCATCATCTCCAGGGCCCTCCAGGGGTCACTTAGTGCACTGGTTCTCAACCTTTTTTGTACCAGGACCCATTTGTAAACATCAATGGCCAGTCCCCACACAGTGACCCTTGCTCCCAATCTGCTGCCCCCAGTGTGTGGGGCGGGGGGGGTGAGGTTTGGGGGGCCCCAAGCAGCCCCTCACAGGCCAGCGTGCAAGGCAAAAGCCACAGTTTCCCATGTTTTTCTCCTTTAAATCAGAATCCATTTTTAAAGTTTGATCCATTTAAAAAAATTGTTCACGACCCTTTCATACATTCTTGTGACCCACTTTTGGGTTGTGACCTACAGGCTGAGAAACAGTGATCTAGTGCAGCGGTTCTCAACTTTTGTACCAGGTGTTACCTCTCAGCCCCATGTTCTTGGGGAACCCCGACACAGGATGCAGCCTGTCTGACTCACAAAGAATCCCCCCCCACCTAAACAGAAACTGATTAAGATGCAGTGAAAGACACACCTAAAACCCTCCAGATAAGGGTGACAAAAGTGAAACAACTGCCCTAGGTCTCATTTGCATCTGAGATGGGAACAGATGAGCATTCATTTACATGAGAGATGGAGAACAGAAAGCCTGAAGCAGACACCACAGTGAATTCTGGGATCAGCGAAGCAGGGGAGCACTGCAGGATGGGGAATCTGTGCTCCAAATGCTAATCAACCCACACACCCAGCTCTGCATTTATCAGACCAGTTCTAATCTGGATTTACAAAGGATTTCCCCCCCACACACACCTCTAAGCAGAAGTAAGTTTAATAGGCATCTCAGGCCATACATTCCCCGGTCCCACTATGGGAGGCCTATGTAAACTTAATTGGCTAAAACTCAGTTGACAGGTTAGGGAATGCTGAGGCAATAGACCGAGTCAGGGGGTATGGATAACATTTGAACAATGGTACAGGGTTCATCACAGCGTCCAGCCCGTTGGAGCCCTGACCACAAGTGTTGT